TGGCACACCACATGTTCCATAAAGCCCCCACTGCAGACAGACACTGCTGCAAGGAAATTCCTAGTATGTGGGTTCCTTCCTTTCTAAAAAAATGCAAGAATTCAAGGGATTGGCCACACAGGGATCTGCCGCAGAGACAATCAGCTGCTCCAGACCATCCCTGAGAATGCACTGAGGCAGCTCTGGCCCAGGGTAGGGACTGACTCACATGAAGGACCACCAGCTGAGCTCCCCAGTACAAGAGAGAGGTGGAGATACTGGAGTGAGCCCAGTGAAAGGCCATGAGGGACCAGAACATCTTTGAGAGGAGGGAAGGGTGACTCAGCAGTGTTACCATGCTTCAAGCATTTCTTGTCATGGTTTTTGCCTAACTCAGTTCATTCTGTAGAGGTAAGAAGGTCTCCTCTATTTCTGAATCAGAATAAACCAAAAATGTTTGGAGAAATAAAAAGCTACAGAGCCCTACAATGAATCAACTATTTATTTAGGGCCAAAACCCTATTTGGTTTGGAGACAGCATGGTGCTGCTGAAACCCAGAGCTTGCTCAGCAGCACTGGGGCCACAGGTGCCATGCAGAGCTCAGGGACAGTAGTAAGAAAGTAGTAAGAGGAGTATTAATGAATGACATGGCATTTTAATGTCAGTCATTCACTGAATTTCTACCAGTCTAAAGCAGCTTTCTGTGGATTCTAAATCACTTTTAATCAAATAATGCCAACTTAATTTTCTCATTTCCCATCAGTTACCTTTGTTAACAATTTAGCAGAATGACATATCAAATATATCAATGCCCAGTGTTTCCTGCAACCTGGTCTGTCCCTGCAGAAGGAATACTGCACCTGGCAGCTACCAGGGCAGTGCTGCTCCCGGTGAACCCTGACTGGCACTGCTCTCCTTTCACAGAGGAAGCTCTACAAACTCCTCTGAGCTGTCCATGACAGGGCCCTCCTGGCACTGCACTGTGCCCCAACTACTTCCTTCCCTAGAATCCTAAATCTTCAGACATTTTCACTAAGAGCAAGTGCTCTCCTATCCCAGCTCACCCCTTCAAACTCATGTGAGCATAGGGAACACTGCTGTGGCGGAGGCAGGAGAGCAGAAGGACTCAAGGGCACCAGCTGTAAACTTTAGGAGGAAACCAAGTTTAGCACCTGACAGAGCCAAAGGCAGGGTGATTTCACCTCAGCCTCCCCTGCTCTCTGCCATAACTACCCTCAGATTCTTGACATGTGAGGACTGAACTGGAAATTGAATTTCCCTCAAATAATTCACTGCAGCCAAGATGCAGAATTTGCAAAACAGTGTCACAAGGCTTTACCAGCATCATAAAATTCAAAGATCTTGCACAAGCAAAGGCAAGCAGAAAACAACAGGCAAGAAAAACATGGAACTAGCTGGTTGGCTCTGCTGAGAACCCTGCCAGAAGGACAGAAATCACCCTGGAAGATCTCTCCTTGTAAAGGTATTTGCAGTTTTTTACTACCTATGGGAACAAAAGGAGTGTGGGCAACCGGTGAAGGAGGGGATTCTCCCCCTCTACTCTGCTCTTGTGAGACCCACCTGGAGTTCTGCACACGGCTCTTGCGTCCCCATCATAAGAAGGACATGGAACTATTGGAGCAAGGCCAGAGGAGGCCATGAAGCTGATCAGAGCACTGGAGCACCTTCCCTATGAGGACAGGCTGAGAGAGTTGGGGCTGTGCAGCCTGGAGAAGAGAAGGTTGTGTGGAGAGCTCAGAGCAACCTGCCAGGAGCTGAAGGGGCTCCAGGGAAGCTGCAGAGACTCTTGGTTAGGAACTGCAGGGACAGGACAAGGAAGAATGTGGAGAAATTGAAAGAGAAAAATTTAGATTAGATCTTAGGCAGAAGTTTTCCCTGTGAGGGTGGTGAGACACTGGCCCAGGTTGCCCAGGGAGGCTGTGGCTGCCCCAAGCCTGGCAGTGTTCACAGCCAGGTTGGCTAAAGCCTTGAGCAACCTGCTCTGGTGGGAGGTGTCCCTGCCCAGGGCAGGGGGTTGGGGTTGGATGATCTCTAAGGTCTATTCCAATCCCTTAACATACTATGGTACTCTGTAAAAAAATAATCTGTAAGTTTTCATTATTTGCAATATAATACCTTAAACAGTCCATTAACCAAAAGCTGCATCTACATCATAAAGCAGCACCTCAGGAATAAGTCCCATGTGTAATTTTTCCTCTGGTTTCTGACCTGTGTTAACAAGCACTATTACCTTTCAAATTTCTTATGAAAACCACGTTGGACCTGAGTCACTCAGGATGACTTCAGGTCCTGGCACAGAGCAGATCTCCCCTGTGTGTGCTTAGGGATGAAATGTCCATTGCCGTCAGGCATGACCACTTGTCTCAGGAACACATGGTTTCGTTACCTTCCAAGAGGACTCTGTCAGCCTCAGGAGCCATCACACAATTGTCTCCTGCCTTTGAAGCTTGCAGATAGTTGCTTTGGTGGAATCTCTCTGCTGATCCCCATGTAGAAAGTCCTTTACTTATGACTCAACTAATGTATCACCACACTCACTCTCAGTCTTCCATTTAACCACTGCCATTTTCCTGACTATATTCACTGTGTTTTAAGTTGTAAGAAGTCATCAATAACATAAAAACTACTTTTGAAAATATTTGGTACATTTTTAGGACTAAATAAAGCCAAAGCTTACACACTGCCTGTGTCTCACAACTTCCTTGGTCTGTGGCACATGTACATGAATTTTCCATCTCATTTCATCCTGAATTCTCATCTCGTTCCCCTCACTCAAAGCCAAGTATTTTAAATGTCTCTCTGGTCTGATACCTGAAGCAGTCATCACATGTCTATTAAGTCTGCAGTTAATCCCTTCTCTTTTGAGATCCTGAAGATTAAAGTATGTTAAAACATGACTCAAACTTGACACTAAAAGGTACTTTTTTTGTTGCTTAAAAGAGACAGACTCACTGTGGAACACACTGGAGAGGGTGTCTGACCCTGTTGTGCTATTTAACCTTCTCATACAAACTTACTTCCATTTTTATAACCTCATGAGAAGGTTCATGCACTGTATTTCTTTCATGACAGGAAGATTATAGTTTAGGGAGAGGAAATGGTACAAAAAGGTAAGCAATAAACTACACTTCTGCTTGGTGTATGATTTTTAATCTAACTTCCATTTTAAGGATACTCAAATAACTTTTCTTTCTAAGTGTAGTACAAAGATGCCATTTCTGCCTAGTTTTGGTCATACCACAGTTCACTGGACAGTCTGATAACCACCACCATTCCTGCACCCAGCCAACACTCATGTCCTGTTCTAAACATTTCTCAGTTTTCTCCATTTCCTTTCCACTGCTGCTTTTCAGATCACAGTATAAACACCAGAACATCCTAGCACCACCCAAGCCCTCAGCCAGTAAGAAGCTGTGGTTGCTGCTTGCTCATTAGCATCTCCACAGAGATGGGGGAATACTGCTCACAGGGGACTGGGATTCTGGGCCTCATGATGTATCCACCAGTGTGTTGAGAAACAAAACCCAGAACAATACTGGCGGATTCTTCTGCTGAATCTTCCAGCTGATTTTATCCATTACCAGAAAAGCTAAACCAAAATGTACATTGATACTTCCATGTGACACAACTAACCTGAAGCCTGGCATTAATTGTCACACACTCATATGGTGCTATACACTCTCAGAAGCACCTTCTGCCTCTAAAGGAAGAACAAGGACTTTCTCATCCCTATTTGGCAAGTGCTTTCTGCCTGTACTAATTATAATTCTTTCCGGTCTGAAAAAAGCACAGAGAATGTTGTAAAATAAAATGTAATACTTGACTTTTCTGTAACTACTTCATCATTTTGATAAATTATCTACAAATGCATAGAAGTTAAGCAACATTGTCCAATGCAATCAGAACGGTCCCAAACTCAATTACAAATAAAGCACATTAATGGTTTACTGTACAGTAAACAAATGGGTGAAAAACTGTAATTTATTGAAACTCATAACTCAAAAAATATAAGATGCTGTAGTGTACAATATGTTACACAAAGCACCCTAGGGTGCACATTCAAGTCAAGTAATAACTCCATCATCCCCCAAACCCTGGTACCCCAGTACTTGCTCCATATACAATCATGCACATTTACTCTTCAGAGGAAGCCCCCAGTATTCTGATGTGTTAAATAGCACCAAAATCATCATTGTTCATTGAAAAAAATGGGGAGCTAAATTAACTTGGTCAATACTTTTGACAGATATTATACATTCATAGAATTAAACAGTCTAAACTAACCTAAAAAGTGTGTACAGTAACAATTACTGTTCTAATTTGAAGTTCTCCCCATGTAGCAGTAGTGGAGGCAATCTGCTCTAAGCAAAGCTACTTACATACTTCCTACACACAGCTCATCTGCCTTTTTTGTTGGAAATAAGTCTATGAGGGGTGTGGAAAACTTGGATCTTTCAAGAACAACTACTGGTCGTAAGTAATGCAGCTGTTTTAAGGCAAGGTCTCCACAGTCCGTCAGGGCCTTGTCCAAGATCGCCCTCAGGTTCTCTAGTGAAGGGGCAGATGAGGACTCTGACAGCAAGGGCTGAATCTCTGTTAGCTGCTCAGGATTACTCTGGGTTATGATCACATTGTCATCATTTATGAAGCTGTTTACTGATGTATCCCCCTGACTGTCTTCTTCTTTTTGCAGGGTTTCATCTACTGGCACCTGCTCGGGAGACTCCCATTCTACCACCTCATCACAATCATCATCATCGTCGTCATCTTTTCCCTCGCTTTCCTGAATGAATTTTAAAAATGAAGACTCGAATCCCATTGGTTTGTATGTCTTTAAATCAAATGGTTTGGACACTGGAGGCTTCTGAAATCTGTCTTTTGTAGCACAAAGTACATGTCTTTTTGTATTCTGATTAACTGCACTGTTTTCACATCCTTCTGGATCATTCTCTCTTGGCAAGTCTAACTGTACACTGGAGAGACAAGAGCTATTCTCTCTTTCAGTGTTTTCAGAAAAATCTTCAGTTTTAGACACAGCTGTCTCCCTGGTTTCAGGCTCTTCAAGACAGGTGTTCTCTGAACCGTGGTTGTATTTTAAAGTGCCTGAATACACAAAGGCACTGGCATCAAAGCTCACACTGCTTGGTGGACATTGGTTTTGGTCTTCATTGTTCATGTCCGGAAGATCACAGAGAGGGCCTGGAACAACAGTTTTGTCACTCTCCTGCACAGGCTCATGATTAGCTGATTTATCCTCGTTAACTTCTGCACCCTTTTTGTCCAGGTCTGAAGTTGTGTCAGAGCTACTCTGCTTTTCAATCATTATGCCATATTTAACACAAAGCACAAGTTTCTGCAGGCGCTGCTCTATGTACATGTTTGTCATCTGGTGTGTGCGTTTGTAGTGCCTCACTATGCTGCTCTCCAGTTTGACAACAGACAGGCACCCCTGGACCATGCAGGGGTACTGTGTCTGGTTAGACTTCTCTTTGCACATTTGTAGGGCTTCCTCTTTTGTTTTGAAACTCAGCAAATGCTTTTCTCTACTTCTCCTAATTCTTTTAGCTTTCTCTTTTAACTGCTTCTCATTCTGCTTGCTCGTGTCAAAGCTGTCTTTCAAACCATTTTGCTCACTTTCATCTTCATCTTCCTCCTCTCTCTGATTTCCAAAGAGACTATCATAATATTCACTATGTCTGAAATACACGTGCTGAGAGTAGTGACTGTAATTTGTGAAAATTCGATTGCAGCCATTAAGGTCACAATGGATTTCAAAATCTTTGTTCAACTTTTCTTCATTGGCATGTTCATCTATTAGGTGCTGTTTAAGCTTATTAAATGTATAAAACACAGCAGGGCACTGGGCTTGGTTACAAGCAAATCTGGCAGACTCAGCTTCAGAAAGCAGTTTTTGATCCTCTAAGACTTCGTTGTGGAAGTCACTACAGTGCTTAGAAAGAGTTTTAGAACACAAAAAACGCTTACCACAGTCCTTGTGTTTGCATACAAATATTTTTTTACATTTGACAAGTTCCCTTTTTGTTCTTGCTTTGTCTTTTTCTAAGCAGAGCTGCTCCTTATTGTACTGGTGAACAGTTCTGTAATGGCGAATCAAACCCTTCTGGTTTGTAAATGCTGAGTTGCAGCTTTTATGTATACAATGAAATGGTTTGTGGTACTTATGCAATATGTAACATAAGTTTCCTTTAGCAACTGTTCTTTTGCTTCCTCTTCCCTGTCTTGCTTCCAGTTCTTCCCCATGACTCGCCAGAGAAGCTATGTTGGATGTTTTTCTTGTTCCATTGTTGTCTGTCTCCTCACTGGACTCCAGATCTGTCTCGGAGCAGCAGTCCTCCTTCTTTGGATGACACAGCTGCTGGGAGTGGTCTGGATGCTCAGGGAACCCAGTACTGTTGGTGCATGCAGGAGCTGGGGCAGTGCTATTTTTATGCATGTCCTCTGCACATAAACCTACATGATCAAACTTCTCATTAGGACACACCTTGTGAGCCACCCTCTCACAGCCAATCTGGTGTTTGTTCCTGTAGTGAATCCGAAGATGTGTTTTCCTCGTGAATGACCTTTGGCAAATGTGACACTTGAAGGGTGAGTACCGGTGCTGGAACATGTTGAGCTGAAGGACCATTTCCTTTGAATAGTTATGCTTTTTCACATAATGCATTAAGAGAGCTTCTCTGGTCACAAACTCACAAGAACATCCTTGACATTCACAGAAGAATGGTTTAGCTGCCAGTTGAGTAAGGTACTGGCTGGGTAAATTACCTTGTTGCTCTTGAAGCTGAAATTCTGAGGTAGTTTCATCAACTGACTCAGGGCACTTGACGTCCCTGGATGAACAGGACTGCAAAGAGCCCAAAAAATGTTTGTGCCTTGAAGAATTCTGAATGTTAGCATTTTTTAAGCTTAGATGTTTCAAACCTAACATTAGTTCCAACATGTTATCTTCAATATTTGATTCTTTAGAACTGTCATAAAAAGATGTTTCTGGGGAAGAAGGACACGTTTCCTCCCTCAGGCCATTGCTTCCTTTAGCATCCAAACCACAACACACGCTTTCTGGAGAATCAGCATTTGTATCAGAATTATGATCTAACTTTGTATTCATGTCTGTAGGGGATTTACTGTCCTGAGCATCACTCAACAGATTGAGAAAGTCTTTAGCTTTCATCTCCATATTTCTTTTGCCCTTAAAGTTGTATGGGTGGGTCCTGCGAAGCTGTTTTTGCATACTTCTGGAGTTTTTGTGCGTGGAACAGCAGCCTTCAAAACCATAGGAAAGGCCTTTCTCATCAAAGCAAACTGCTGCACTGGAACACTGCTGTTTCACATCTGCTGGATGGAAGACTCCTTCCTGGGCCACCACAAAACCTGGAACTGACTGGTTGTGAGCCACTGCTTCAAGCAGCAAAGGAGATGCCTGATGTTGGCCTACTGCAGCATCTGCCCTGTGCTCCCCACAATGCAGGCTGCAGTTACTTCCACTATCTAGATCTTCACTGTCAGAGAGAGATTCTTCCTTCACCTGTGCAATTTCCTGAGAGCCTGAAGGATCCAACTTATCATTCATGTTGGAATTTTCAGATTGCTCAAGCAGCTGAGACTCTGGGAGATAATTGCATTTGTCTTTTGAAACCTTCCCTTCCCCATTTGACACTTGGATATTGTGTGCTGCGAGGTGGTTCTGAAACTCAGTTTTTGAATAATAAAACTTTTTGCAACCAAAGAAGTTGCAGGTGTATGATGCATCCCTGAAGTGCTGTGCCTCGTGATGGTATAGCTGTCCCAAGTCACTGAAAACAATGTTACAGCCATTGAGTTCACATTTGTAACGAAGGTCATCGTGTGTTTGTTTGTGGTTGAGCAGCTCGTTAACAGAGCCGAACCTGGCGTAGCAGTCCATGGACACACACATGTAGGGCTGAGGGCCGCAGTGCACGCGCTCATGCTCCCGCAGGTGGAAGGAGGTCATGAAGTGTCGGCGGCAGAACGCACACTTTTCCCTCCTGTTCTTCATGTCCAGGTAGTGTTTGGCATTCTCATCGTTATTCTGATGTTCAGCTTTCAGATGTACACTCAAGTATTTAAACTGCTTAAAAACTCTAGAACAATCCGTCCCAGGACATGGATAGATGTCTCTGTCCTGGAGGTGGCAATTCTCCAGTTGGCTGAACGTGACATATTCATGTGTGTCATTGTCGAAGCTTTCAGGCAGCTGTGGCTGGTGTGGCCTTTCCTGAAATGCTGGGAGTGGGCTGCTGGGACCTGTTGTCTTTTGTGGTGACCTCTCTTTTTTCAGGATTATTTTCTTTTTGGGTCTGTGTGTTCTGCTAGGTGGCATTTTAACATGTTCCATTACATGTGGCACAAAAAATTCCTTCCTCTTGAACTTTTTTGTGCACACAGGACATGTATAAACACCATCTTCCATGTGCATCTTAGAATGATGCAGTATTCTGGCCTCTATACACTCCCTTTTGCAGAGCACACAGAAGAATTTATATTGAAGCCATCTCTGGTATCTTTCTGAAGAACCAATTGGTTTTTTTACTCTTGCTTTTTCTTTAGGGTGGTTCATTGTGCCTTTCCCATCATAATATCTGTGTTCTTTTGTCTCATCACAGTCACTAAAGAAAGTTTCTAACATGTCGGTTTCATTGATTGACATATGACAACCTGCATCATCCTCAGAGTCAGATACTACCTTTCCTAGCAGCTTAAGGCAGTGCCGCTTCAGAGTCTTCCAGTCCCAGAATTCAGGATCAAATGGCCAATATGCTTTGAGGGCCAACAGCAGCTCACAGCGCAGTGAATTTGGAACCAGGGCATTTTCTTCATCAAATTTTTCATCAGGTTGCATATAGAGCTCCTCCAATGCATTAAATCCGCTCAAGGTTGGCTCCAGCAGGAACTCGGTGAGCTGACAGGCTCTTCTAACTTCAAGGTCCTCTGGTAAAAGACATGCAATTGTTTTACACACTGATGTCTTCATTTCATCGCTGCCATTGGACCTGATCTGAAGGGCTCTCACACACAGCAAAACAGACACGGCAAGTCCTGCTTCTTCTGCCTGTTTAAACAAACCAGAAAAAAAACAAACAACAAACAGTCACAAAACAAATGTTACTTTTCTTTGATAAGTACATTCTTTCTAGAAAGAAAAGCACGAAGAGAGCATCCAACAGACTACAGCCCAGCCCAAATGCATGTAGACTCCTGAGCAGTAAGTGCTTGAGTCACTGAGCACCTCTAGAGAGCTGTAGTTTATGTGAGGAACCTCTTCTGATTTTCAAGCCATGGAAACCACTGCACACTAACTGCACTCTGGAGGAGTCACGTGAACTAGTTTAGGCATTAGGTGTCACAAAACATCTTCAGAACTCCTCTAATTCCTCTCTCCTAACTGAGTGATTCTCAATCATAAGTAAGTCAGATGTCTAGAAGAGAATGATGTAAATCTTCTATGAACATTCCTCCTGCAGCATCCACACGGGATATTAATTCAGAACACGCGGTATTGCGTAATAAGGAAATTTCTGTCAATTCACACCCTGAAACAAAATAACCTTCAACAGCATAAGCAGTGCAGTAGCAGAAATGATTCCTGATCAACAGAACTGGCATTTTGCATCCAAACACTTTCTGAGAAGCCTGCTCAACAGTATTAGGACGACACCTACATTAATCACATGCTGATTCAAAAAAATCGTATGTTACAAATTCTACATGGACAACATTGAAGGTTACCTAGTCCCAAAAGCGTATTTTTCAGCATAAAGAATCTGCATGCATGACTATTCAGCCATTATTAGTAAAGACAAGTTAACAGTGAAGATGCTCATTAATAACTTAGAGAGCTGACATGTGGCTACCACAGCTGCACCTGCACCAGCCCAGACTGTCATCAGCCAAAGGACTGAGTTAACAGAACCAGCAAGCTCTTACACTCAGCATGCACTGCCCACCAGACATCATGCTGTGCTTCTTTAATTCACTAACCATTTTAAAGGCTGTTTCTCCACAAGAAATTTTAATATAGTTTAGCAGGAAACACACAAAAACCTGGTATATAGCTACCAATGTATTATGATTTATAGATAAAGTGGACATTCATGAATGTCTTAAAAGTAGAAATGGGCCAAATTTAGGGAAACTAGGACCAAACATGTCTCTGTGCAACCCCTGGCAGAATGCATCTTTGCCAAATCAGAGTTGTGGACACTCCTCTGTGATCTGTCAAAAGGACAATCATGAACACTTCTGATCCTACTCTGACTCTAAACCAGGACTTTGGCTCTTACTCTGACCTTGTCAAACCACACTCAGTAACTTCTCTGGGTCACAGTATTAACTCCAGCAAGTGAAAGAGACTCTCAGGCAAACAAACCTGAAGCTGGAGAGAAATGCAATCGAAAAAACGAATCTTGTATGGTTTATCCATATCCATCTTAACTCTTAGTTAACTCATGACCGTGTCAGAATGCAAAGAGATGAGGAAACAGGAGAGGGTAGTGTTAATGGAAACACTCATAAAATTGAAGTTCATGTGGCAAACTCTATGTGTGCAAAACTGCTGTTTTTCAGGAGGAAATCTCTGAAACAGTGACATTCTTAAGGAAAAACTGCATATCTAATTTAAGGTCTATGATCCATGTAATACTGCTACTAAGAGTTAAAATCCTGTTCCTGTCAGCTAGCTTGTTTTTCCACCCCCATAAAGTCTGCCTGATTCCTCTTCATCCTAATTGCCCTACACAAATTTACTCTCATAGTGACCAGACATGGGAAATTTCAGCACAGCCAATGTTAAGAGGCAGTACAGCCGAAGGCAGACAGAGACACTGAGCACTAGCCAAGGGAGGCCGAGCTGTGCTGCAGCTCTGCTCACAAGGAGCATTGCTGGACTGGCCTCTTGGGATCAATTAAAGTCTTTCCATTAGTCCTCAAAGATGATGAGTTTATAAAAGCTGCTGTCAAGCATCTTTTGCATCTTCCTGTGACTTCCTAAAGACAGGCAGAACAGAAGGTAGAAGTCCAGATGTATCACATGTTTTGAAGAAAAGGTATTTTCTCAGAATATAAACTATAACACGCTCCAGTCCAGCCTCCATCTCCTACGGATGCTGCAGAAAACTCCTGTCCTCACTTCTGAACAGGCACGTCAACACACAGCTGTGCTGTTTGCGCAGCCCTGTCATTCTGTACTTTCAACATAACAACCCAACTCCTCCACAATGACTGAAGGTCACTTCAAGAGTTCAAAATTATACACTGTTACAATGTCAGGTGTTGTCCAGAGATTTTTATTAGCACGCTATTAGGCACTTCATCAGAAAGCATGAATAATGAAAGAAGCTCTATTTCTTATCAGCTCAGTAAAATCATTAAGAAAAATAACAAAGTCATGCAAACAGCTCTGGCTGTGGCCAGAGACTCATCACTGCAGCTTACTTACTTCAGACTGTATGACTCTTATCAAGAAAAAAAGGTGCTGCAATGTCTTGGCAATGATGCCAAACTGGCGACATCTCTCCAAAAAGGAATCTAAAGAAGGATCTATTCTTCTCTGCAGTTTGCTCCAGAAAAGTGTCAGTTCCCTGCAAAGAGTTGAAAACAGAATATAAGAACACTGCAGATATGCACAATTTGTGCAGTCACACACTTCAGTTCAGAGCCGACACCAGGACAAGACAAGTCGTATTTGAGGACAGCACACACTTCCACCTGGTCCTGATCTCCAAGGGATGCTTAACAGAACTGTTCCTGTGCCTCACTCCCAAACAAGAACCATATCAAAACACAGTATATCTCCTGATATTTACTGGGGAAAGACACTGGCACTGGGATTCATCTTGCCCAATGCATGTGCTTATAGCCACACAGACTTCCTTTCCAGACAAGACACTCCCACACTTGCAGAGCCTTTACGTTTCACACAGAAATTTAAAATGGGTAGGGTGAATCATAATGGAAAGTAGCCACTTCTCTTCCATTAGGTGAGTAGCTTAGCTGCTGACACCCGCAGCCAGATGATGTATCTGGCAACTGCCAGAGCCCTCAGAGAACACCCTCTGCCAAGCGCCATGTAACGGGTCTGTAAGCTGAAGGCAGTCTGCTACCTCTGAGCAATGATGTGCTTTCCTGCTCCTACCGTGAGAGCACAGAGCTGTGCTGTTAAGCAGTTTATTATAACCAAGGCATTACAGCCACTGAAGGATGCAACCTGTCACTTGCTGTTGCTCTGCAGCACACAAAGTGCCCAAAAGTGTAAGAACCATAGGATCCATCTCTCTTATATCCTTGAAAAGCATTTTCTTCTGTTCCGTTGGTAGAGCAAACTTCACCTTTGCTGATTTACCCACCTTTGCTAATTTACCCACGTACACAGGCTGCTGGGTGCAAGGTCAGTCCCAGCCTCAAGAATCAATCATCAGGAGAACACATCCGGGCAAACCTTACACGGAACACTGGTGAGGTTCTTCCTCTGCATGACTGCAATCCTACTCTTACACATTAAGGCAAGGGAAAGGGAATAGGGCCTGTTCTGGGATACATCTTATTGCACAAAAATGGACAATAGTTACTGGTAACAGTTTGGGGGGTTTTGTTTGGGGTTTTTTGTTTTTTGTTTAAAGGCCTAGAAATACAATTAACAGCCTTTCACAGCCAGGAGGAGACAGCTGAGAAGCCAGACAGGCCTACAAGGAGTTACCATACAAGCAGTATAATGCAAGATGTTTTAATGGCAAATCTTCAAACAGAACTAGAGAAGAAGAAAACGGTAGACACTCAGAATATCAGCAATGTTTTCTACTGCACGTTAGCTCCCAAAAGCTGCAAAAACGTAAAATTTAACTGAACATCAGAATGACCAACATGGAAGAACTGTGCAAAGGGAAGCTTATGCAAGGAAAGCAGAAAATATACATATAAACAGAAGATTTTTAACTCAGCATCACCACAACGGAAACAAAACAAACTTGAAAAATAGTTTAGGAAGACATCACTCATTTTGTCCATCTATTTAGTACATTTATGCAGTTGGGAGCTGGGAAAACAGCAAGAGAAGGACTTCACTCTGGGTAATCTCTTACTCCCAAGGCTTTTTGGCAGAACAGTAAGTTTCCAGTGTTTGCACTCTTCTCTTTCTCATCCCACCCTTTCTTTCTGCCAAGCTCAAGTATGCTCCTGGAAGGGATCCTCAAGGATGCTGATACAGAAGTGTTCGGCAGATAATCTACACACATGTGGAAAGGCAACTCCAAGTATCTGGGCAATTTTCCACTTCAAAATTGACATGAGGCAGTTCAGAGAACAAAGATCTCCAGACAGACACGTCTTACAATATTCAGAAGGGCAAAAAAAAAAAGGCATATCAGCATATCAGACCAGAGAGAGGTTTCTGAGGTTGTGCTTAGCTACAGATCACACTTAAGGCCACTTGTGTTAATGCTAAAGATAAATTACTTTATGGACTGAGGACCTGCCTGGCTCCCTGGAGACTGCAGCAATCAGCTCCCTCAGAACCACTGCCCTGAGCAGCACTCCTTCTGTGACAGTCACCAATGCTGGAGGCAGTACCTCCAGTCTTAAAAGCAGCATGACATATTTTATGCATTGCAGCATGAACCAGTGAAGAATCTTTCAATTTTGGCAAGGAGTAACATATCCAAACCTAAGTTCACTTTCATCTTCAGCTATGAAATAAAGCTTGACACCAAGAACATCAACTCACCTACTTAGATGGTTTACTGATCTTCTGGAGGTACAGGCTGGAGGCTCCAGGATGAACAGGGACATATCTATGGTGCTGGACTGTGCTAACATCTTCAAACCTTCACTGCCTGTCACCTGGGCTAGCCAAGCTTAACACTGATGTAAAAGTACCTGCTCACCACATTCTGTGTACAGTTAGCCTCAGGGGCAGACTGACATGAAGATGAGAAATCTACAGCTCTGAGTTAGAGCTACAGGATCTGAACATTTCATTCCAATTCTAATGAGTCTCAGTTCAGACTTCATTCTGCAAGCAAAAAAATCTACCCAAATCTGTTGTCACAAAGAGATGTTATTCTGTAACAAATGCTACCTCCTCAAGTCTGTTCTTCTGGCCCAATAGTTACAAAGTCTCAGCCACGGAAGTCCAACCCTCTTCCTATGCACTCCAGGGATATAGCTTTCAGAACTGAACAAGTCGCTTGGACAACAGCAAAACGCATATAACTCACCCCAGAAGAATGTTAGTTGTTGTTTGTTTCTTTATTTAAAAAGAGAACATGGGGTGGACTCCAGCCTACTATCTCTTTGGACATGACTCTAATCTCTAATGACAAATATCTAAGGTGAAAAACAACCTCTAGGACTTCAAGTGTGGTGAACTCTCCCCTCCGAGTCTCCCACAAGTTCATTACTCTCTATAAGGTATACTTTTTCTCCAAAAGACATTTCTGGCCTGAAGCAGAAGCAATATTTATGCAAATACTTCTGGTCTTTTTGTAGATGACTGGACGAGGCTAAGCTGTCGATCACCCTGCTGACACCAAAGTTCTGTAAAAGCTTCTTTTAATGGCTTTAAAATATGGAGAAGAGTAAATGAACAATGCCACAGCTAACTGATCCAAACTCACAAAATATTCTTATTATGTCTGGCCATGTAAAGTTAATCCAGAACAGGATTTAAATTGGAAGAAGCTACACATTTAGCCACGCCTTGAAAGCCAAAACTATGTACCCATTTTGCAAAGGGTAGAAACCAACTCCTCTGCTTTGGCTCTGTGAGTTTGCCACTGCTGAAACAGAGGCCCAAAATGTTTTGTACCTTCAGCCAGTTAAGAGGACAGAGAAGTTCCACAGTCATAATCTGGCCAAGATCTAGTACCGTAATTCTCAGAATTATAGAAATTATAAAAATCTCAAAAAGCTCTTGGAGGGAAGCAGGGAGGTGATACAGGTGCAGCCTCTGCACATCCCTAGTCCTGACAGCTGAGTGGAAGGACTGAAAAAGCACATCAGACTTTCATGGGGCCAAGTATCCTGAAGGAAGAACCTACTGCCAACATACTTTGTGGAACCACAAAGCTCAGGTGTTTAGTATCAGACCAGAGAGCACTGACACAGCACCACTGACAGAACTATTGCCCTGTGGAGGGGTTACTGCTCATGCCAAGGGGGTCAGCACTGTTCATTTTTAAATGATTTAGACAAAAGCAGTGTGTAACTGCTTCAGCACTGCAGTAATTATTGTGCCACAAGTTATCTAGAAAATGCTTCCGTCTGATGCACTTCTCAAAGTAAGGATATATCCACTTTCTTGACATATTTTTGTACTGTATTAGCTCAATTCGCTTGCACTGAAGCCAGTGAGGAAGAGTGAGCAGTAGCAGCAATACTTATACTTACCAAGAACAATACACATTTGCTGTTTGAAGCTGGTGAGTAAGATATGTTGTACAAAGAATAAATGCAGTGTTTTCTTGACCCTCAGATTCCAGATTACATATGATGTCCAGTACCTCTTTGCAATCCACCTTTGCAATCTTAAAGAAAAAAAAAAGAGAACTAAAAGGCACTCATTCTCAGCAAGTTTGCAGAACAAATGTGTTTACTGTGTCCAAGAAAATGGTCTCAAAACCAAAACATTATGTCTCCTTTTAACACCCAGAGCTCATGACACACCTTTCAGCTACAAAATGGCATGACAAGTTCACCTGTTAGTTCTGGCCCCTTCCCAGTTTTCTTTGGGACAGCCTTCCACTTTGGGCAGCTTAGCCAAATACTGGCATGCAGGCAATCATCTACCTAAAACTTCCCATTCCCTCCTTTGCATTTGCAGGCATTCTTGTGCTTTGAAAATCAGAACCCAGGTCCAGAAAGGTCATGAGTTGTGAAAAAGACAATCTTGTGCTCTTTGTCCTCTGGTACTGGTCCTGAACAACCACAAAGTATTTAGATAAGCTTGCTGGTTTGGGCTCAAGTGGAGTTAACTTTCTTCCCAGTGGCTGCTCTGGGGCTGTTTGGGATTTGTGCTGAACACAGGGTTGATCCTACAGAGATGTTTCTGTTATTGCTGAGCTTACACGGAGCCAAGACCTTTTCGGCTTCCTATACTGCCACACCAGTGAGGAAGCTGGAGTGCATAGGAGCCTGGGAGAGACACAGCTGGGACGAAGGAGGCAGGCGAAGATGTTTGCAGTGATGGTGTTTGTCTTCCCAAGTCATTGTCACATGTGCTGGGCCCTGCTGTCCTGGAGGTGCTGAACTCCTCCTGCTTGTGGGAAGAAGTGAATGAATTCCTTGGTTTGCTTTACTTGTGTGTGTGGCTTTGGCTTTCCCTATGAAACTGTTTTTATCCCAACCCAGGAGTTTTCAAGCTTTTACCCTTACAATCCTCTCTCTGACCCCCCTCTGGGGCAGTGAGTTGAGTAGCTGTGAGGGGCTTGTCTGCTGCTGGAGCTAAACCACGACAAGGACACACAAAGCTCACGAAAGTTCTAGAAAGCCTACTTAAGGTAATACATATCTGTGGATCAAACCAGGTCACTAGCTTGGCTATAAGGCACAAACAGTAATTATGAAGACCTTTCACTATTAAGACAACACTATTTTAAATATATTTTTCCACTGGATCTATTCCACAGAACAGACTTAACTCTAGCAACACCTAACTTAAACAGCTGTTGCTACTATAAACATTTCAAACCTCCTGTTTATAATGAAAAATAATGACACAGGATGAACAACAGGAAATTAAAATAAACTAATTTTCATGGACATCTTACTCAACAGGAAGGACAGAAGAAGGGATGTTGCCTCAATTTCCCATTCAGGCTTGACACTGGAGTTCACTGAGCAATAACAGAGTAACAGTGGTCAGGTTTAGTAAGGACACTTTAATGTGTGGTTTGTGTGCTGGTTTGAAAGCAAACCAGTGAGAGACTCCAAGTCAGAAGTACATCATATGACCTCTGACACGCAAGGAGCAAAGTCCATGCAGCTGCTGCAAATCAAGGGCCTCCAGGCTGGGGAGGGTGCAAAAGTGAGCCCATACCCAGGGGCACATGACAGGACTGTGAAGGTGTTCATCCCTGTCCAGGGGAGAGTGGGGCTGTTGCAGCTTACATGACACTGCTGCACATAGTCTTTCCCCAACACTCCTTGCCATTAGGGCCTTTTTCTTATGCTGTTGACCTTCAATATCTACAGGTACACAGGTATTGCAGCTTGGGTGGGATGTCTAGGTGAATAAATGTGTGATAGCTGGACAGCTCCAGCCTTCTCACAGGATTCTACCATCTCTCTCCACTCAGCCATTCCTATTCTTTACAGATCACAACTTCCATCAGCATGTTTCATAAAGTAAATCAGGAAACCAAAGCTAAGTGAGCCAAACTTGTCTATGATCATTTCCACAATTATACACTGCTATCTCCTCAATACTACAGCAAATGTTCTTACAGAACACAGAGGCTGCCTGCAGCTGTTTGATAAAAGTCTGATCTTCCAAGTCTTGGGTTTTAGAAAAGCAAAAATTGTCAGTGCATGTGTACATGCCACGTGTCCCCTACAGATATGAGGGCAACGTGGCAGCATACCTGTTAGCTACTTTGCCAGACATCACTGCACAGAGACCATGCTCATCACCAGTTCCATTGAAAGCACAATCACTGAGCAACACTACCCGTGTTTTAAAAATTACAAATGTAAAGCCTACTTACTTGGGTTTCTGAGACTGCACTATTACAAACCCTACATCTTTAATGGCCGTCAGTTACTCCTCACTCAAGACTTACACTGGAACAAGATCAGGAACTTCTGCTGTTCACTGGACCAGCAGGAACAGCAGCATCAGCAGCTCCAGCACAAGCCCAGCCTGCAGCCACACACTGCCTCCGAGCTGCTCTGCTTCTCACACAGAAATTGCATTCCTTTTGGCCAAATTCACTCACATTAACTACTGAGTAAGCAACAGGGCAATTTGTTTCAAGTCCTGTTTATTTCAAACTTGGTCAAAGATGATCCACCTTGTTTGGTGGGGTTTTTGTTTGTTTTTTTTTTATATTTAAGTCAAGAAAGTCCATATGCACAGCTAGAAATCATCCAACAATGTCCAGTCAGTCACTTAAGTGACAAACTGTCCTGGGTTGCAGTGTGGGGGAGCCAGTGGTATGTGTTCCATTGTCTCTCCACAAGCTGTTAAAGCAGGTGGGGGCAGTGATGTTATCTCCTCATGGCTCCCTCGGGGCTGTCTCAGTTCAGTGGGCTGTCTGGGACCCATGCATGCAGAGTTACACAGTCCCACTGGGAGATGCTTCACCCCAGGGGGGAGTCAATCACTCTCACGTGGGGGTGAGGAGCCAAGCATTCCCACAGGGATATAAACTGGGGTTTGGACCAGCAGAGATGCCCTTTTGCCTGCTGGATTCCCAGAGGGCAAGAGCTGCTGCTGGACCTTCGGGAGAGGAGCGGATCTGCGGGATCCCGCCCCCCACAGAGCCATCACTCCTGGACGACTGCAGCCACCATTTCATTGGACTACCATCAACGCCTGCCTGACAGGGTGTCAGGCTGCTTTCTGACTCTGTCAGTGGTTTCTTTTCGTACTGTTTCATTTGTTGTTGTTTAGTTTTGTTTTTCCTATTAGATTGTACTTCTGACTTGGAGTCTCTCACTGGTTTGCTTTCAAACCAGCACACAAACCACACATTAAAGTGTCCTTACTAAACCTGACCACTGTTACTCTGTTATCAACCCAACATGACCAACAACTCAATGCAAGTTAGGAGACTATAGAATGAACACTACTAAGACATTTTAAATTAGAACTGTTGAAAAACACTGTCATTCCCCTATGTTCTGTTTACAAGGATGCCAGTTTACTCCTCGAAGTTATTCCATGGAATACAACCGTGTAAGATTTATCTTTTCTTTATCTTTCATGTCATTTAAGTTTGAAGGAAAAGTTGTAACATTACAATGATTATTCATTTTTATGTCATCACAAACATTTCCTACCACTAACCTAAGGCTTGTACCATTTTTTAGTAGACCATCATGCTAATACTCATTATTTGGAGAGGGTCTCCCAGAGATGACTGCTCTTAAGTTTCCCAATTGAATTTTTTACAAATGGGTTAAGGGGCATTTGATTAACTTCAGACTCCCCAAAGAGCTCTACTCTCAGGCTTTGGAACACTCCCACAGAAAGTCCAAACTAACCAAACCCTCCTGTGATGACAGCAGATGGCTTTATGAAGCTCATACGTGACCCAGCAAACACACTGACATGCGGCAGAGATGACCAGTTATGATTAAACATGCAATCTGGCTTTAATATTAACTGGTTGTTTAATCTGAAAATCCTGTTCTGTTGCTACTTGTGGCTGGCACTGGCCTTGCAGAGAAAATCATCTTGGACCATGGAACATTTGAGGCTTCATGCTTCTGCAATACCAATGAGTGTTATTGACTACTTACTGAACTACTGTGTAGAAGAACTGCTTTAATCAGCATTTTAATTGGTTCAATAATGGCAAATTGAGCCAAACATTGGGATGGGTCAGCCTGATAGTGATCCCCCCAGTTCTGTTACTTTCTGCACTCTCACAGAGCAGCACAAGACTCTTGTGAACAAACAGTTCTGTAACTGGATCATTTTTTACATGTGTCTCAGGCCCAATTCCAGGTGCCAGGAGGTACCAGAAATGCAAGGGACAACTTTATACACCGAGTTATAACCATGTGTGGTACACTGTTACATGTATGCACATAGAGAGATATAGATAAATATTTATATACATATGTGTGTGTGTAGGTGTTATTACTTATAGATAAAGACAGAAGTCTTTACCAGCCTTAACTTCTAGGAACTCAGCACCTTAACTTCCACACCTGACTTAGCCATCCCAATGACTTCCAGTTCCTGGAAAGGGATGACCATACATTGTCTAATCTTGCAAAACAAATTCTTTCTCTCCAGTCCTCCCAAGCTATCTTCACTCCTATTCAACCTTTCTGTAACATTTACTTTCTCAGGCAAGCCCTGTTCTGTCACCTACCCCATCCTATTTCCGAACTTCAAATTTCACTCAACCCTCGTTTCTTTCATTACAGTTTATTCCCTCTTGCCCTCAGCTCAGTTTTTGGTTACTGCCACCTCTCGTTTCCCAGACACTGCCACTACTGGAACCCTACATCCTTCACTTTTCCCCATCCCTTTTTTCCCCACTTGTCAATAGACCTAACAACTTTCTACCTGAAGAAGATGGTAGGTAGCATGAGGATATAACACAATTCTTGCCTCTGAAAATAAAGGTGGAAACAGAAGTGTTTTAGAAGTCTTGGACTTCAGCAATCCTGTAAGAGTGCCAAGTACACAGCACCTGTGACTGAGCATGCCAAGACATATGCCATGCAAATCCTCACATGCCAGTTATTTACTTTACACAGCATTGGCTACAGGTCCAGTTATGTCAATAAGCTGTATTGCTTTAAGATACTGCTTTGATGCTTAGTGGCTTCATTTTCCCCATGAAAGGTTTAATTAAGCAATTACCATAACTCGATTCGATTCATCAATCTGTGTTCCAGTATAAAACCCGACTGGAAAGAAATGACTGTTGAGTATCCAGCTTAAACAGCTACAGCTACACTTCACAACCCCTAAATTAAACTAAAAAGAGAACACAAATTAATGTGACTTCTCAGCCACTCCTCATTAGGCCCAATCGAGAGAATGTGCTGCAACTACACATAAACCCCAAAGCCTCCAGCACGCAGGTTATGTCTGCAGTGAGCTGTTAAATGCACTCCCTGCTCCTACAGCACACTGGGGGGAATCTGCCTCACCTATCCAAATATACATTGTTCAAAAGAAATATTTTTGAAGGAAATTTTTTTACAATAGTTTTACCTGTACAAGAACACTCTGTCGCTCACACAGGGAGTGCAGACATCACAGTAGGGTGGTTTTGTTTCCAAGTATCTGAAGCATCCCCCGGTTTCCCTGATTTAGTCAAAATCTCCAAGTCTCACATTGAGAACTACACTAAGTGCACACAACTCTAATAAGCGAGACTGATCCCTTAGCAGGTGTGTGGCATCACGAGGCAACTGAAGCAAGAGTCGGCCACTGCGATGGCAATGTGCACACACGAACCATTGCTGTGATTGTTACTGTCTCAGGAAGATCAATTGCTAAAAATGAGTTCAGAGTTCAAGAGGAACAACCCTAGAAGGGGTTTTGTTTGCTTTGTGGTTTTTTTTCTTTAAACTTTTCTTTCTTAGGTCAGAATCACTAGAAGAAAAGTAATTGCTCTGGTACCAGTGTTTTGAGTGAGAAAAACCAGTTGTCCAATTACATCTGGCTAACTAGTGGAACTGAAGTTCCAAGTTTTACTTTAAGCTTTCAAACATATCTCACTTCCAATGCAAGCATATATGCATACTTATCCACAGCAGCAGTTCATACAAATGTTATTTCCTACTGCAGTCTGCAACAGACCATTCCTCTTCTGGAACTCTGCGGCAACAGTTTCGCTCTTCAGCTTCTGTTATTAGTATTACAGAAATAAATTCTGAAATTCTTGATGACTAGACATTAGAAAGGGGCTATGGATTACTAACCTCCTTAATGGAGTCCTCGTTAGGCAGCATAGAACACACACACGTGATGTAGGCTTGGCGAAAAGATGAAACATTTGCAATTTCTGGAGAATCTGCACACAGTTTTGACAAGCAAGTGGCTTGGGGAATGCAGTTTGACTTCATCAGGTGTTTTATTCGCATCTGCAGAAAGGAAGGCCCTTCTCGTGTAATCAATTTATTAGCTAGGAAAAGAAAAAAGCCTTTGAGAATACACCAATTTACAGCTAACGCTTCACTGAAATTGTCTCACTGCATTCACACTCCTTTACAAACTTGTCAGTGGTCAGTGTTCTCAGGAAACTCTTGGCACAATTAGAAGTGACAGCAATGGAGTTATCTTCTCCCAAACAGCGACTGTGTAGAGAGAGAATGTTGAGCTATAGAAAACAACCTCCCCTGCCCCCATCCCACCCTGACCCATGAAGGCAGTGAGGACATGTGCCACAATGGCTGGAGGACACTAGTCACACCAGACAGATGCCACGAGTCTAGCAAAGATTCAGATTCTTCACCTTTTAACTGTAGCATCATATTCCAAAGAATCAAAAATATTTCAAACCAATCATTAGAGGCTTTGCAACAGGAGAATTTTCCACCCACGCTCTTAAAACCCCATATAATGCCAAAATGAAGCTGAGTGTCAAAATGTTCTCTCTGTGGTACTTTTGAAGAAGAGTGTTTAAGACATGCTAGGCTTATGCTCTAGATCAACCAAACACAACTAACCATTAGAGACTTGATGAATGAATCCAATAGTAAAAACGCAACTTTGAATTATTTTTGTAAGTAGTTAGCGAAATTAACTTATTTGGATTTAAAACCTCACAGATTCAGTTTAACTTCTCTGCCCTGGTGTTGATCATAGAAACAAAGAACATCTAAGTTGGAAGGAACCTCTAAGTCCCACTCCTCAAGAGCATTGGCCAGGTGTTCCCTGAGCTCTGTCAACCTTGGGGCTATGACCATTGCCCTAGGGAGCTGTTCCAGTGCCTAATCACCCTCTGGGGAAAGAACCTTTGCCTAACGTCCAACCTGTGCTTCTCCTGACACAGCTCCATTCCATCTGCTTGTCCTGTTGCTGGTCATTAGAGAGAGAGCAGTACCTCTCCCTCTGCTGCCCCTTCATGAGGAAGGTGCAGACTGCAATGGGGTCACTCTTCAGCCTTCTCCAAGCTCAACAGGCCAAGTGACCTCAGCTGCTCCTCACAAGTCTTGCCCTCAAGGCATTTCCCTAAATTGGTCACTGTCCTCTGGACACATATTGAGGCACCCAAAATTGCCCCCAGGACTTGAGGTGAGGCTGCATGAGTGCAGAGCAGAGCAGGATAAATTACCTTCCCCACTGGCCAGCAATGCTGTGCCTGATTCCCCTCAGGGCACAGTTGGCCCCTCTGGCTGCCATCAACCCAGACCCTCCAGATCTCTTTCCATGAGGCTGCTCTCCATCCCTTGTTTGTCCATGTAACCAGGCTCACCGTGACTCACGGGGAGAATCCAGCACTTGCTACACTTCATACAGCTGGTGACTGCCCAGCTCCCTGGCCTATGCACATCTTTCTGTAAGGTCTCTCTACACTTGAGGGAATCCAAAGCTCCTCCTAATGTTACCTCATCAGCAAACTTACTGAATGTACATTGAACCTCTGCACCAAGGTAATTTATAAACACATTACAGAGCACTGGCCCTAAAACAGAGCCCTGGGAAACCCACCAGTGACTGGCCACCAGCCTGACATAACCTCACTTACTATAAACCTTTGCACCCGACCCACCAGCTCACTGCTCACCCAGTGCACGATGGCCTTGCCAAGCTGTGTGCTGGACATCCATCCAGGGACACTGTGAGAGACAGCATCAAAGGTTCAGCTAAAGCACATGTACTTTGCCTTGGCTGATGAAGTCGTATGCTTCCAGACAGCTGTGATGCTATTTCCAGCTTAACAAACATCTACAGACAGCTTTGATATGAGCCTCCAGATTTGTACACATTTGAAAAGACCCTTGAGAATTAAGAGAGAGGATTTGAACATTCTTATACTACATGTAGTAATACATATCAACCAAGGAACAAATTGTCCGATAATCTGTAGAAGAAATCATGGAAATGCCTGAGACATTCTGATAAAACATACACTAGAATGGTGTCCTGCAGCAGCTGTGGTTACCTGTGGAGCCTGCAAGAGACTCTGGATTAGTCAAAAAAGTAAGTTTGCTTTAGACTAACAACTTAGTGAAAATATTTTTATGCAATGGCTCTTCCACTACATTAGCATCTTATTATTACTACAACAAGACATGTAGCTAAAAAACCACTAGGATATAAATTTCTGAAAGAGAGGATTGTGCCTAACATAGAACAAGAAAGTTTTCATGCCTTCTGCACTTAGATTGTTGTCCAAACAGAAAAGGAACATGTTCCAACAGACACCGCACTAGTTGGCAGAAAGCTCACAGTGTGCACTTGAACAGTTACTTGAGGAAGCAGGTACATACTACCTGCCTGTGGTGAGACTTACTTGTATTCTGCAGAAGCCTGAAGTCTGCTTGGTGGCCCACTAGAGGTAATTTTAACATTCAAGTCTACAGAAATGGTTTCCATTTTTCACAGGAAAAACCTCTGAGCAGTGAACTCCTGACCCAGCTGACACTTCACATCAATGTAACTTCAATAGATAAAGCAAAAGGCCCTGCCTGACCAAGAGACAGCCTGCATTAAGATCCTCAGTTGCTAGGAAACAAGCCTCCTCTCTTCCTTAAAAAACTGCATTTGTATGACACAGTGCTTGAAATTCCACAGGGAAAGCTCACAGTGCTTGAGTGCAGCTCCTGCTGGAGATAAGAAACTGCCACCAGAGCGTGATGGCCAGGAAGCTGCCCAGCCTGGCTTACCCAGCAACACACCAGTCACCTCTCCAGGTAGAGAATTCCTGGTGTGAATGGGGTTTAGTGCCCACAAGCATTCAAAGCCCTTCCACAGTTCTGTTTCTACAGCTCTTGGTTCACAGAATAATTAATTTTTTTCAGGTCCATTAGAAGAATAAGAAATACTAGAGGAAAAAAAAAAGATATTCTATTTACCTGCTCTAAGAATGATTTAGATTCCTCTTCTTTACACTGCTAGACATGCACTTGACAACTGCTTAACTGAAGTTCTACTGATACGTCAGAGCCAGCTGGTCAAGACATGAAGTGTTTGAAGAGTACCTGCAGTCAGCCACACAAATTAAATGCTTGCAGGTTAACAGTCACACTTTTATCTTCCAGTACAAATGAGAGAAACTTGCAGATGAAGGTGGACAGGAGGTGGACTTGCTGGTATGCAGGAGAAGGTCTCAGCTCGCTGCAGCCTTTGGAAGCAGCCAGCAAGCACATCCTCCCCTCGGGTGGAAGGGCTGTGCCCCTGGGCTGGTCCCTCCACACCTAGGGGTGTGTGCAGTGAACTCTACAAAGGAGGCAAATGACAAACTGAGCTCCCCTGTCACGCAGACACGAGTGACAAAAGTAGGAGCAAAACTCAGAAATAAGTCACTACTCAGTCATCTATCTCAGGACCTAAGCTTTCCTCTGGAGTGTCTATTCTTTCCCATCAGCCTGACTGCAGCAACCTCTTTTTTCTTGAAAAAGGGAAAAAAACCCGTCATTTTGCTGTCTGTTCCTCAGAACTGATGGTTTTCCCCTCAGAACCTAATTTTGTCCTCAATCATGTATCTGTTACATTTCCACACATGTGCAGGAACAGATTTTCTTGTTCTTTCTCTTCCTAGACCTCCTGGTGTTGTCTGTTCTGCCCCAGGGTTCTGCCAAGCATCTCAAGATTAAAACAGCTTGCTATAAAAATCACTGCAGACACTCTGCAACCCTCCCCTCCTCCTAAACCTTAACTTATAGCTCAGTGCAGTTTCAAACTCTACACATACCTAAAGAGCTCCCAGGACAAAAAAAGTAAGGAGAAGAGATCCCCCTCTCACTCAAAACACTTGCAGTAAAAGATGAATTTAAGTTACACCACAATAATGTGAATACAATCTTTATAAAGCATGGATGTCACTAGAGCATGAAAAGACCCTGTGGTCACTAGGATAATGTTCAAGAGAGGCAGCATCTTGGGTGAGCACTTCTGCTGAAAATACCTCTAGAAGAGGACAACAATGTGCTTGAAGTGCAGTGACAACAGCAGTGTGGTGGACAGTCCTTACAGCTTTCCTACAAACCAACCCAGGCTAACAGAGGCATACCAAGGTGCTTGTATTCATCTGCTGCACATGACAATAAGCTCACCCCAACCTCCTTGTTCATCCTGAAGGATGGTATTTGTTAGGACAAAACCCCCCAACAAGTCTGGGAATCAGAGTACTGAAGCCTGAGACACTCACCAAAGGGGGCTGCCAGCTGTGAGCAGCACACATTATCACATCAGGCTCCTACTACCATTTAGTCAGCTAAAAGGTGTAAGCAGAAACCACTTTTTTACCGCCCTTTCCTCAAGAAAATATTAATGCCCCCAAACCATCCTGAGCCAGCTGACAGTGACAATCGGGAACAACCACCCTAGCACATGGCAGTGCAACTTATTAACAGTCACAGGAGCAGCTGCTATGAAACTTTGGCTGGAAGAAATCTGGTAAACCATATTTACAGTTGATGTCAGCAACTTTTCCAGGTCAATGCATTAAAAGTAAAAAAATTAAGAATTCTAAACAAGAGTCAGAAACATGACATACCTTCAGGATCACTGATTCAAGTAAGCATGTGATGATCATCAACATGAGCTACCAGTTCACAAAACACAGCTCCAGGCACACTGAGCTACTCTCACCTCTGGCTTACCAGTGGCCCACAGCATCAAAATCTAAGATTTCTTTTCAGGCACACACCACAAAACCCCAGAAAGAATGAAATACAAGCTGTTCAGAGAAACTAAGCTGATGACTGAAATAGCTCCACTTACAACAGCATTTCAGAAGATGCTCTGGGAAGCTGCTCTTGTACTGGAAGATGAAATGACAGTTTGACTAAAACTGAAATCCCATTGTGCTGAAGCTCCCTGTGCAGCCCCTACCCTCCACACCTAACAGCACAACTGCCATCTCTCCTGGGACCTGCAGAAAGTACATTTTGCTTCCTACTACTTCTATCCAGTGGAGCCTGGCAGTCAGCAGAGAACATCACACAGACCAAGGAA